GTGTCCAGAACTGGCTGAGGAGGGTTAAAACGATCCCTGCTGGTTAGTTTGTTCTTTAATCAGCTCCTGTCGTCCTGAATCGACTCCCCTCGCTGATTTATTCACCTGAATGCTGGCGTTCCAGTCCTCAGCGAACCGGCGGTCGGCGAAGTCCTCCGGCAGGCTGAGCTGGGTTTGGACCATCTGCAGGTACCGAGAGAAGCTGAAGCTGTTCAGCAGGTGGATCTGACGGTGGGAGAACCGAGACTTGACCCGCTTCTCCAGCAGCTCCAGAACGTCCTGCAGGGAAACAAATCAGCCATGAAACGTCTTCAAGACGACTTCTGGTTGTTCAGAACTTTCCAAAACGTGTCTAGAACGACCCAAAGTTGTCCAAATGGTAAAAAATCAAAACAAAATGACTCAAAATTTGCTTAGAATGACTCAAAATTATTTAAATGACTTGAAACTTGTTCCAAATTACTCAAACAGTCCAAACTGGCTCAGAATTAGTCCAAAATGACCCAAAATAACCCCTAAAATAACTTAAAAAATACATTTTACATGACTAGAAGTTGTCTAAAATTACTCAAAATGACTTGAAATGGATCTAAAATGACTTGAAACATTAAAATTGCTTCAAAATGGCCCAGCATTCGTCTAAATGACTCAAAAAATGTCCAAAATGACCCAAATTGTGCCTAAAATACTTAAAGAACGTGTTTAAACTTGTTTCAAATGACTAAAAGTTTTCTAAATTGACTGAACATCGTCCAAAAGTTCAAGATTTGTCTAGAATTAATTGAAAATTGTTCAAAATCTTTAAAATTTCGACCATAATGACTCAAAATGTGTCTACAATAACTTTAAAGAAATGTTAAAAATTACAAAAAAACCCAAAGTGACTGAAACTTCTTGTCAAAGATTCTAATTTGTGGAGCCTGATCGTCTGTGACGCCCACCAGCCTGCAGGTGACGCCGACCACAGCGACGGGCGTCTGGGCCGACTGGGAGACGTCCAGCAGGTTGTAGAGCAGCGTCTGGTTCTTGTGGTGGGCGAACAGGTCGAACTCGTCCAGGACGAACAGAACCGGGCGGCTGCTGCTGCGATCTCCTGCATTAAAGCTCAAGTTCAGCTTCAGGGCCTCAGGCTCAGTCACAAAGCTAAAATCTGCAGAATACATTCTCTAAAATTTTAACATTTCATGTTTTCAGACTCCAGATTTTTTCTATTTTACCTGTAAAGTCAATTTAATGGTTTAATATCTCCAGAAATATAATGTCCACAGACGTGAGCGTTGGTGAGGACACAGAACAAACTGTCTGTAGCAGATCCAAACAACTAAATGTCACCAGAGGAGGAAACATTTATTATTATTGGTCCTTGAAAATGTTCAAAATTAGTTGAAACTTGTCCAGAATGACTCAAGACTTGACATGAAACTTGTTCAAGATGCCTCATAATTGTCCAAAAATAATTAAAACTGTCTGCAATGTGTCAAAAATGACTTGAAACACGTCTAAGATGACTCAACATTTGACCAAAATGACTCAAACATTGTCTAAAATGAATTTGAATGTTGTAAAAATGACTGAATATTGTCCAAAATTTGTCAAAAGTAGTTGAGAAGGACTTGAAAATTGTTCTTTATTACTCAAAACATGTCCAAAATGACTTAAAATGTGTCGAAAATTCCTTTAAACTTGTTCAAAATGTCTTGAAACTGGTCCAAGATGCCTCATAACTGTCCAAAATTACTAAAAACTGTCCGAAACATGTCCAGTACAACTCAACATT